CCCCAAAACCCCAAAACCCCAAAACCCCAAAACCCCAGATATTCTTATATAAATTGAATTAGTAGCACAGCAATAACACAAAGATGTCTGAGATGCCAAACTTAAAGTAAAATATATTGGTGTTACTTTAGCACTTACAAGCCTTGCTCCTTGTTAAAGAATGTTGATATAAATATGAATATAAGTAAACCTAAGGAAAAGGGAAGGAGTGCATATTCTAGAAAATGTAAAACAGTATTTATTTGACATTAAGATAAACTTGTTGCTAGCAAATTTCAAATAGCAACCAATCTTCAATAAAATATTTCTGATTGAGGAAAGTGATAAATTTTGTGAACATTTCGAGAATTTGGTAGTATAAACCAAATTTTTAATCATAGGTCGCCCCTACATTGCTCGAGAAAAGAAAGGAGTAACAGATGTAAGTTTGAAAAGAATTTATTTCTAGAAATTCATAAAGAACCAACCGAAAATTGTATTTCATTGTACTAACAATTTTAGAGGAGCCATTGATTCAGCTTGGACAGAGATCCTAAACAGGTATGAATTTGTTTGAATTATTTTTAGAAAGCATACAATAAAGCAGCCTTAGAAGTATTTACTAACTAATCCATAGAGCTTCGAAATGTGTAAACAGATTTACAAAAGTATGTAAATATCTGACATTTTGAATAGATACAGAAGATAGAATCTGAAAAGAAATAGATTTAGTTAGTCTTAGTATAATTTGTAGTTCAAAACAGTCCATAAGGGTCACATCCCTGCCTCTGGGATCATTACAGTTTCAATGCAAGAGTCCATACAAAAGAAAGCATGGAAATACCTATTGGACACTGACTTGACTAAGATTAAACCTCAGGATATTAAGAAGAGAAGTTCAATTTTGGGTAAACTTGATACATACAAATAAGGAGGAAGATATGAATAAAATAGAGGCAGAATCTCCTGACTCTGTAGATGTAACTAAAGTTTTAACATTTAGTCACATCCTTTGAACATATTTTCTTCTCGTAAAAGTTCTTCGAAACATGTTTCTAAGAAGAAAATTCCAAAACTGAAATCGTTAATCTCTCAAAAGAAACAAAGAAAAAGAGGCATTTATATTACTAAAATAGAAACAACTCCTAACTCTCCTTGTAACAAAAAGAATAAATTACCCAAAAATAGTGGAGTTTCTATAAGACAAAATCTGAGCTTCTTTGAACCACCCGAGAAAATAGTCTCAAAAAAGAGAGGAAGGAACTCTACTTTGTCTTCCTCATTTGATGCTCAAAGCTCTCTGGCCCCACTTCCCGACAAAACTTTCTATAAAATCCGTAAAAGTCTCCGTTCAGTAGTTGATAACTGCGACAAATCCCTTAAATTTCGTTCAAGTGGAATTCCTGAGGCTAATAACTCAATGGAGTTAGAGAAAATCCGACGCACAAACTACAACTACACTTGAAGTAACACCTATCTCTAACCTGTAGAAACCCTTGAGAGGCTCAACCACCACAACTCCAAAAACCTGAAACGGAACTATGACTGGGCGATGCTCTCCAGAGACGAACAAAAATACACCGAAAACAAAGTAACTAATGAGTACAAGCACAGTATGATCGACCCGACCAGGGCAGCTGCCATTTTCGAAAGGACCCAGTCACTTTATCGGATGATGATGCAGTGCCAGTTACGGAAGAAGGCAGGGTATGACCAAATTGAGAAGGATAGTTGTTAAGGAGGATTAAGGAGATGTCGATTTTGGGTGTGAGAGATGGGGTTTTGGGGTTTTGGGGTTTTGGGG